TTATTTTTCCTGGAGCTTCGGGGCCTTATATTCCGGGGTGGCCTTATTATCGGGGAGGTCTTATTTTCAGGGGGATGCCTTATATTACAGCGAGAGGCAAAACTGGAAGTAGGTCTTATTTTCGGGGGATGTCTTACTTTCGGGGAAACAGGGTATATACATTGCAGCGCTGATTTATTACTTGAGGCTCGGATTTTCAAAGAAGCTTCATGGAGTTTTGTTCTCAAGCTACCATTGACTTTTTATGTCCTGCTCAGGCTGTCCCAGACAGTGCTCATGGCAATGTCACAATTGTCTCTTGAGAGGTGAGACAGTCCTATTCAAATCCCTTCCCCTCACTCTCCCACATACCAGGTGAGCGCCCTTCCTCCAGGCTAACAGTTATGAAGAAGGTCTGCTGCCTTCTCCCTGGCCGTTTTGTGTGGAGTGACAAGTGCAGAACTCTACTGTGCAAGAAACAGCTTAAATGTTTAAGCCGCTTGACTCCGGGAGAGGGGTTCCCAGGTGTGGATCAGAGAGACAGGCGCATTCCTACAGTAACTCTGAGGGGGCGGGGCTTAGGACACACCCCTCTCAGCAGCATCTCCCATTGTAGTCCTGTCAATTACAGGCCAGTAAGCCTAAGGGCTTGTTGATAAGTACAGCACTCCAGCTGTACTGATACGTCTGTGCCGCTGCAGCGCACGCGGTGGAGACGCTCTATGCCGAGGGGAGAGAGCTCTCCTGTTGGCATAATAAACCCACCTCCACGAGCAGCAGAAGCTTAGGGTGGCGGGAGAAGTTCTCCTGCTGACATAGCACTGTGCACTCAGGTAGGTGAAATTCACAGGCCTGAGCGACATAAGTTTTGGTGACATAGGCTGTATTGCAGACAAAGCGTAACTTCAGGACCAGGCACATTGGTTGAAACTATAGTAAAGAACAAAATTGTCAGACACAGATGAACATGATTTGTGGGGGGAAGAATCAACATAGCTCTTGTAAAGGGAAATCATGCCTCGCCAAATCTATTAGATTTCTGAGGGTGTCAATAAGGATGATCCACTGGATATAGTGTACTTAGACTTTCAGAAAGCCTTTGACAAGGTCCCACACTAAAGTCTCTTAAGGAAACTAAACAGTCATGGGATAAGCGATAAGGTTATCTCATGGATCAGTAACCAGTTAAACTATAGGAAACAAAGGATAGCTTTCACAATGGAGAGAGATAAATACCAGGGTCCCCCAAGGATCTATGCTGGGACCAGTGCTATTTAACATATTCCTAAATGATCAGAAATGGGGGTAAACAGTGAGGTGGCAAAGTCTACAGATGATACAAAATTACTCAAGGTAGTTGTGTGTAGCAGGGTGGACACCTGCTCCTGCCTGGAAGGGCCTGAGATAGCCCAGGGAGAAGGCAGCTTGAAGGCTGAGCTGATTGGGGGAAGTGGCTGCAGCTGGGGCCACGCCCCAAACAGACTCAGCTGGCCCTATAAAGACAGGGAGCCAGGAGCTCAGACATATACATTCTCTTTTTCTGTAGAGAGAGAAGGGCCAGGCTGTAGGGAGCTAGAGGGTACCTGAGTGGAGCTAGGGCTGGGGAAAGGCTGGGGAGCTCCAGCCTGGAATGCCCCAGGCTGCGGCCTAGGAGAAGGCCATGGGATACTGGGGGTTGCAGAGGGCAGCCTAGGGGTAGGCCAAGGCAGCAGGTCCAAACCCAACCTTGCCGATGATGAGTGGCCTATACTGCAGTCTGCCCCAGGGAGCGGGGGCTAGTTGGTGACTGGCAGTGGCCTTATCCTGAGGCGAGATGGGGAGATTGGGTGGGGGTTCCCTGGGGAGGGGAGACCCCAAAGAAAAAGAGGTTACTGCCAGGGGGCAGCCCCCCAGATAAGGGCACCGGTGTCCTGGGTGGGACACGGGGGGCCAGAAGCGGTAAGGTGGATCAACGGCCTGCAGAGGGCACTCCGGAGACTGGATTGAGCTGATTCCCTGAGACGACCAGCAAGAGGCGCTGCGGGGGTGAGTCTGCACCTTACATTGAGTCAAAGCAGACTGGGAAAAGTTAAAAAGCGATCTCTCAAAAATGGGTGACTGGGCAACAAAATGGCAGCTGAATTTCACTGTTAATAAATGCAAAGTAATGCATATTGGCAATCATAATCCCAACTATACATATAAAATGATGTGGTCTAAAGGAGCTCTTACCACTCATGAAAGAGATTTTGGAGTCATCTCTGTAAACATCTGTTCATAAAAGCTAACAGAATTTTAACAACCATTAGGAAAGTGGTAGATAAGAAGACAGACAATATCATAATCCCACTATATAAATCCATGATACATCTTGAATATGTCATGCAGTTCTATTGGCCCATTTCAAACAAGATATATTTTAATAGGAAAATGTGCAGTGAAAGAAACAAAAATCATTAATAGTCTGGTACAGCCTCCCTATGAGGAGAGATTAAAAAGAATGAGTGTTCAGCTTGGAAAAGAGACAACTGGGGTTGGGGTGGCGATGTGAAAGGTCTACAAAATCATGGATGATGTAGAGAAATTGAATGGGGAAGTTTATTTACCCCTTCACATAACGGGAACCAGGGGAAATAAACAGGCAGCAGGTTTAAAAACAAACAAAAGGAAGTACTTCTTCACACAACGCACAACCAATCCATGGAACACATTGCCAGGGATGTTGTAAAGGCCAAAAGTATAACTGGGTTCAAAAAAGAATTAGATGAGTTCATGGAGGATAGGTCCATCAATGGCTATTAGCCAAGAAGGTTATGGATGCAATCCCATGCTTCAGAGATCCCTAAACCTCTGCCTGCCAGATGCTGGGACCAAATGACAATGGATGGATCATTCGATAATTGCTCTGTTCTGTTCGTTCCCTCTGAAGCATCTGGCATTGGCCACTGTCGGAAGACAGGATTCTGGGCTAGATGGACCATTGGTCTGATCCAGTGCAGCTGTTCTTATGTCCTTAGTGATTTTCTAGGTGCCTAAAAGTTAGGCATTGCAATGCTGAGCATCACAACACCCGAGTCGCTTTGGAGATTCGGGCCTAAGTCTCCTTTACAAATGGGACTTCTGCTCTAAAGTCAGTTGGGGCTTTTGAAAATGTGCTCCGAGGATCTTCTTCTGTAATTCACCAGGGGATGAGGTGTTGTAGAGCCACAGAGGATCTAAAAGCACAGCTCCTATTCATTTCAATGGCAGCTGGGTATCTCAGGCCCCAGTCTCAGCCCTGTATTCCTTCTATGCTGTATGTGTCATGCTGCCAGGGAACACCAGACCTGATGTAGAGGCTTAGGGACTTTGTCCAGACAGCCCTTTGCCTCCAGCGAATTCTCCAAGTGCTTCAGAGCAATGGGTTGAATTCGTATCCATTTTGCAGCAGTGTAGGATCAAGTGTCCTGCTCCCATGCAATGACAGGGAACAGTATATGAAGAGATCTGGATGTCAGAGTTAAAGCTGAGCAACTTACAGGGAAGGGAGTTTTGGTAAGAGTGTTTGTTTAAAACACTTTTTTAAAAAGTGTATATTAAACTCCAGGGCCTAATGGGAGAAAGGAACTCCCGGTTAAAAATCCAACACACTCACAAGGTTCATAAATATTGTGCTTGATTGTTTGGCATGGGGGAAAGGGTTTGTTCTCACTTCTGAGATGCTCCGGTACTGAGACTCAACATGGTCCTGGGAATCAGCCTTTTTCTTCCTTTAATCTACAGTAGCATACAGCACAGTGGATTCTGCCCAGAGTGGATTGGTCAGTCAAACAGGCTTTTTAAGGTTCCATCCACTTGGGCTTCATGGAAGCATCAAATTTGTGGTTCAAACGGATGCATAAACCCAAAGCAAAACTCCAAAGTATGCGTGGGCGGGACGTGAACCACTGGTTCGGGGAGGCTAGCCACCAGACCAGCCCCTTCTGCTTGAGGCCGAGGCCCCCCCCCATCGTGACAGCTAGCCCCCCTTGCCCCAGAGCACCAGGAGTGCTGGGTGGCATGATCACCGGCCCCAGCTGCCCAGAGCCCTCGGCCGCAGGTCAGTCCCCGCTAACCTCAGCCCAGCCACAGGGGGGAAGAGACGCAGCACACTGGTGGGAAGCAGGAGGGGGCCTGGGAGTGGAGGGTGGGCACGGCCATACAGGGCTGTGCCTCCCCTGACTTCCCGCTCTGTTTCAAGAGCAGCAAAGTGACCTGCCTTCAGCAAGCCAGGGAAAACAGGAATTCATCATCCTGGTTTTTCCTTGAGGAAACAATTAAGCAGATTAACCTTAGTTTTTTAAGCAGAAATCTTTCAGTGCATCTTATGCTTCAGAAAGTAGCAGGAAATGAACCCATTGAGAACGCTGCTGACAATGTTACGTTATTGCTGCTTCCAGGAAGCAGACAGCGGTCATCAGATATGAAATGCTCAAGCTGGGCACTACGCCAAGCACCAGCTCTGTCGAAACTCAGCTGTGCTGAGAGGTTTATAATGTGAGGTTTGGTCCTGCCATGCGGGCAGGGGACTGGACTCGATGACCTCTCGAGGTCCCTTCCAGTCCTAGAATCTATGAATCTATCTATGATTGTAAAGCAGTGCCTGAGTGATGAGAGGCTGTGTGGTCTCGTGGCTAGAGAACTAGGATGGGCGTTGGGGGGGCCAGGGTTTAATTCCTGGTTCTGCTACTGAGCTGTTTTGTGAGCTTGGTCAAGTCACTGCCCCTTCAGTGCCTCTCTGTCCCTCCCATTCCTTTGTCTTTGTCTCTGAGGGTGCCCACAGATCAGGCCCTGCAGGTGAGAGGCAGGAGAACACCTGTCTTCACCCAGCTCCTGGGTGTGGCCAGGAGACAGGCAGCCAGAAGCCTCTAGAGGGAGGCAGCTGTGTACATGCCCAGAGGCAGAACACAGGCACTGAGAGAACTTGTACTTTGAATACACAGGCCCTGAGTGAGTTTGGGCTCCTACAGAACTTGGCAGTAGCTCTGGGGATTGCAGTGGAGCCTAGAACTGGCATTTAGGTGTCTAAACCCCAGCTGTATGCACCTCACTCTGGGGTTTAGGCACCTAAGTACCTTGCGTCTGATGAAGTGGGCATTCACCCACGAAAGCTTATGCTCCAATACCTCTGTTAGTCTTAAAGGTGCCACAGGACCCTCTGTTGCTAAGTACCTTTGTGAATCCCCAGCCTTTGCCTCCCTGTACCTCAGCTCCCTCTCCTGCACTTTGTCCACCTTGACCAGTGGTCCCCAAACTGTTGAGCGTGCACCACTAGGGGAGTGCGGAGGAATATTGGGGGGGCCCACGCCAGCCCCCACAGGGGGCAGGGGAGTGCCAGCCACGCATAGGCGCAGGAAGTAGGGGTCCATGGGGTGCTGTAGCACCCCCAGCTTTTGCTTCGGGGTCCCAGCTGCTGGCCCGGGGGAGCGCTCGGTTGCAGAGGGGCGGGCGGCTACGCTACCGGCCCAGAAGCCCGCTCGGCCGCCTTACCCTGTCCACGGCCCCCCTGCCCTCCCGGAGACACGGCCCTGCTCCCAGCTCTCGGGGGCGGTGAGGGGACGCGGACGGGGTCAAAGGGGTGTAGCTCAGCACCCCCACACCAAAATCTGTCCCAGCACCACTGCATCCACATCTCCTGTGGCCTGGGCTCCCCCCGGCCCCGCTCCCAGCCGTGGCCTACCTTGTGCTCCCGGGCAGCCTCCTCTACAGGGACCACCCTGTGAGCGTGGTGCGCCTGGGACTCCCTGCAGATCACACAGATGAGAGTTTGGTCCTGGTTACAGAAGAGTTTGAAAGGCTCCTGGTGCGCGCTGCACAAATCTCCTCCTGCTGCTGCTGCTGGGACACTCAGCTGCTTGGCGATTTCTACCATGTTCCCCAGTTGTCTGTTTGGCCTCAGGGTCCTCTGGGGAAAGGTCTCTCTGCACTGAGGGCAGGAGATGTCTGCATCTGGTCTCTCCCAGCACTGGGTGATGCAGGCTTGGCAGAAATTGTGCCCACAATCTAAAGACACTGGATCCTTAAAAAAACTCAGACAGATGGAGCAAGTAGCTTCATCTCGGAGGCTCTTCAAAGGATTCCCTGGTGCAGCCATGGCTCCCTGCAGACAGTGTAACAAGGTAAGTTTTGTTTCCTGCTGGACCCAGCAAACAGCCTTGTAAAGCAGATTGCCCAACCGGGAGCCAATCACGCTCTCCGGCGGAAATTAAAAACAAACAAACAAACCCATCAACACACACACACAACACAAACAGAAGCACACACCGTCGCCCCCCAGAAAAGCCCCCAAACAAGCAAGATGCTACTTAAAGAAATGAATAGGCAATTACATACACAAAGAAGCCAATAAAGGCTTGCTGGGAGCAGGCTTGGCAGCTTTCTTACTATTATACCACAGAATAAACCCAGGCTCAGATTCAGGTTTAAGGCCAAGACCCTTTGTGTACCTCCTTTGTAAAGCACTTTGAGAGCTAGTGCAGGAAAACACTATATAAGAGTGTTACTAATCCCTAATAGTTAGAGATCATTTTAAGCCTTGACCAATTTATTCCTTCCAAAAAATGTATTTGCATTAACTTAACTATTCTAACTCTAAGGTGCCACAAGTACTTCTGTTCTTTATTCTAACTCTGGGGTTTCTAGTTATTCATATCATCAATATCCAATCCCTTATTTGAATCTTCCTAAATTACTGGCCTCAAAAACTTCATGTGGCAATGAGTTCCACAGTTTAATTACATGTTTTGTGTAAAAGTATTTCTTATTGGTTTTGAATTTGATCCCTTTCCATTTCATTGACTGTCCTCTTGTTCTTGTGTTATGAGACAGGCAGAAAAGATGTTCCCAGTCTTCTCTGTCCCATTCATTATTTTATATCCTTTTATCCTGTCCCCTCTTATTCATCTTTTTTCTAAGGTAAACAGTCCCATTCTTTTGAAATTTTCTTACTAAAAGAGTTTTTCCAGCCCCTCATCATTCTCATTGCCCTTCTCTGAACCATCTCTAATACTGCAATATTCTTTGTCAAATGGTGTGACCAGTACTGCACACAGTACTCTAGGTTGGTGGCTTTCAAACTTTTTTTCTGGCAACCCAGTTGAAGAAAATTGTTGATGCCCACGACCCAACGGAGCTGGGGATGAGGGGTTTGGGGTGTGGGAGGGGCTCAGGGCTGGGGCAGAGGGTTAGGGTGCGGGGGTGAGGACTGTGGGGTAGGGCCGGGAATGAGGGGTTCAGGGTGTGGGAGGGGGCTGTGGGCTGGGGCAGCAGGTTGGGGTGGGGGGGTCAGGACTCTGGGCTGGGGTTCAGGCTCTGGGGTGGGGCCAGGTATGAAGGGTTTGGGGTGCAAGGGTGGGGCTCCAGGTTTGGGGGGGCTTAGGGCTGGGGTAGGGGAATGGGGTGTGGGGTTGGGGAGCACCTCAGGCTTACCTCCAGCGGCTCCCAGTCAGCGGCACAGCCGGCATGTGGAGGCAGGCTTCCCGCCTGTCCTGGCACCGCAGACCGCACTGTGCCCCAGAAGCGGCCAGCAGCAGGTCTGGCTCCAAGGTGGATGCACGCAAGCGGCTGCAGGTGGCTCTCGCCTGCAGACACCACCCTCTCCCTCCACGCCCCCCCCGTTCCCATTGGCTGGGAACCATCCAATAGGAGTGTGAAGCTGATGCTTGGGACAGGGCAGCACGCGGTGCACTATGGCACACATACACACACTCCCGGCATAGGACCTGCTGCTGGCCGCTTCCGGGGTGCAGCACGGTGTTGGAACAGGTAGGGACTAGCCTGCCTTAGCCAGGCAGCACCACTGACGGGATGTTTAACGGTCCGGTTGGTGGTGCTGACCAGAGCCATCACGACCCAGTCCTTTCCATTCCGCAACTCAGTTCTGGGTCATGACCCATGGTTTGAAAACCACTGCTCTAGGTGAAGGGAAACCATCAGTTTCACAGCACAGGCCTAGGAGAAAGTGACCTGGATGCAGGGAGCACTTGGTATTGCTTCTTGCTCCCACCCTGCACAGCCCCCTAGGGGCATGGAGGAACATTTTTTGGCGGGGGGGGGGAGCAGTATCTGTGCATCACCACTCATGGCCCCCCATATTCTCTGCTGGGAGGGAGCAGGGAGAAATCTGGGCGCTCCCCTACCAGCTGGGAGCAGTGTCTGACTCTACAACAGCAGCGTGCACCTCTGTGCTGCCACACAGCGCCACCTAGACCACCAGCATCCCTGGACAGTCACCCAAGTGGCCCACCCCTAAGGCCGGCCCTAGTGTGTGTGCGTGAATTTGTATCCATCTCTCCATTGCCTGATGTTAGCAGACAGCCTGGCATTTACACTTACACTCTGTTATTATGAACAGATACACATTGAACTACTGTCACGGGCTGGATTTTCTTGCCCTAATCAGTACTTCTGTGTACCTGAGTGAGCCAAAATTGGGTGGAAATCAGTAAACACCAAATAATGCCCTACATGCTCACCACAGACATGCACACAGGCCACAGATGACCCAGGTTCCACTGTAACCAGTTTGCCCATCCACCCCCCCCATCCTCAGGGCATTTGCCCATGTGGGGAGCTCTATAGGGGGCAGTTAGCCCCCCCCCCCACCAACTGACTCCCCTAATCAAGCCGCTGACTTTCAGAAGCACAGGACGAGAGATCATCCTTCCTGATTCCCCCTCGGCTCAGTGCCGTGTGAGTTACTGATGGATCCCAGCTTGTCCCTTGCCCAGGATGGGGTTGAGGGCAGAGGGATGTGGCTGGGCATGGGGAGTCTGCTGGTCCCCTGAGCAAAGGAGGAAGCCTCTGGTTAACTCCACCTCTCTCCTGTTACTTTAGGGCGCCACAGCCTGGATATACTAGTCACAGGAGTCATTGACAGTACTTCATGATCGCCAAGCTGGATGATGTTAAGATCGCGTACTACAGCAGCGACACGTGAGAGGTCAGAACCAGCCAGGAGTGGACAGCTCAGGCCGTGGGCGCTGACTATCTCCAGGGAAAAACCCAGAAGTTCTGGAGGTACGAAGATGGTGAATGTAGCTGCACAACCAGACGGGCGGTGAGTGTCTGAGAGGTATTGTTATGAATGGACAC